ACTCAGGTTTTCAGGTGGTGGCTTCCTTGATTAAGTCCATCCATTTGTAATGCGGTCTTTCTTTTTTCCCACCATCTTATACCTTAACAAGAATGATTGTCTTTTCTGGTGAGTCATTTCTTAACTCACCAGATATGGCCAAAATATAACACTCATTTTAGTCATCCTGGTTTCTATGGAGAATTCAGGTTTGATTTGTTCTGGGACATATTGATTTGGGGGGAGTTAGCAGTCTACGGTATCCGTAGAACTCTTCTCTAGCATCACATTTCAAATGAGTTGATTTACTTCCTATTATCTTTCTTCATCATTCAGTCCTCACAAATATAAAAAGAAATGGGTAACAAAGTGTAATGGACAATTCTAACTTTTGTCTTCAATAATATATCTTTACATTTCAGAATCTTTACATTTCAGAATCTTATCTAATGCTTTCATAGCTTGCCCTTCCAAATACCAGTCTTCTGGTCTTTACTGAGTCAAGGTATGGAAAATCTTGAACTGTTTCAATGTCATCATAATGTACTTTAAAGTTACATTATCTGTAGTCAGCCTGCCTTTGAGCTTTCTTTATTTACCATATCAAGTACAGAGAGCAATATACACTCCAAACCTTTGAGCTGAAGTTAGGGGAAATGGATGAAGCTTCTGGAAAATGGCTGTTGTGTTCATCTTGTGACTTCATAACTCTGAATGTCAGCAAATGAACAATGAGCCATTGTTTGGCAATGGCATAGAGCAATATTTATTTTCGCATGAGATATTTAAACCACCCAGCAACCCATGTTCTTTGGATATGATACAAACTGAAAACAGGACAAAGTAATAAAATAATAGCAATATCAGGAGAGTAATATAAGGAAGTTGATCCAGCACATATCCCAATCTAATTCGCCTCAAATCTCAGATCCTCTCCTGAGGCTAGAATTGGTGCAGGGCAAATAATAACACTGCTAATAAGTTAGGATTCCCCTACACTACATATAGAACAGGGTGAATAAAAATATTCAGAAGACTGAGATCAGCTGACGATTGGTCTTGAGGCTTTTCTAGTATTTTGGGCAGTGATTCTCAGCCTGTGGTCCAAAGCCCACTGGTGGGCCACGAGACCTAAAATAAGGTCTGTGGCTCTAGATTATTAAATATGGTTTTCTGTGGGCAAGCAGATGGTGACTACTGGATGGCATATGCTCTATATCAGAAACTGGAGCTGATGTGGTCTATCCAATGCAATTTTCTGAATCAACACCCCAAATAACCAAACCAAATCTCAAGTTGACCAAAAACTGATTCATAACCCTTTTGGTACAAAAGTTGGAGAGTGGTCCCTGGTCAAAGTTGTCCCTGGTCAAAAAAAAAAAGGTTAGGAACCACTGATTTAGAGGTTTAGTACTCAACGAACATTAACCTCCCCAGAGCAAGTTACAGCCATTGTGAACAAATTTTTGGAGCTGTGTTTTACGTAGCTGTGTGTGTATCTGTAAACACTGTGAGTGCATAAAAAACCCAAATGAATTTCTATGAGAATGCATAATTTAAATCTCTTTAAAGACTACTGTAACCTAATAAGTGACTGTATCAAGATCTGCTCAGGTACAAATACACTATGTTACAATTGCTGTAGCTTCAAAATGCTTTCAAATGAAATGAATTATCTCCAAAAGGGCTAAAACTTGTAAAAGGCACAAGCAGTGTGACCCCTGCTAATCCATTCAGTATTAGGTTCGTTAGTCATCAGGATAACAACTGTATTTTGCAAATCAGACACTGTTATCAGATAAACTGCAAGACCCAGAACAATATCTAATAGTCCAGCAGCATCAGGACCAAGATATATAACTGCTTCTGTACAAAACCCTCTCTTCTAATCCCTCTTAAACTCAACAAGACTGATTGGTTTTTATTATTCATGAATTAATTTTTAACTCTTGGGCCAACAGGGGAATAGAATCTATAACATTTTGAACAAATTGAGGCAAAGAAGCTTCTTGCCAGCAGAAAAAGAACAGTCAAGCCCTTATTTTATTCATTGTTCGTCAACACTTAAAGAGTTTTGGATCTGCTTTCCCCTAGATACCTCACTGAGAACTGAAAAGAAAAAGAGAAATTAACTGCAAACATAATACCATATTGTTTGGGCATAAGTATTCCTCAAATATGTTCTTTATACATAATCTTCAACAATGTTATGTGGGTCAAATGTATTCTATAAAGCAACACAGTTGGAAATCAACTACATCGTTTCTGTCATGATAGGAAAGAATGGAGAGCTTTGGGACAAGGTCATTAATAGAAGTGAAGGGTCACGGATACAGGTTTCTCAATGTAGTTTTACAGAAACCAAATGAACCTGTTGTTAATGTTCCACTGGCCTTTTATACATAGTAAAAGGGAAAATTATTTAATTTGCACAATACCCAAAATTAAAACTACTCAATACATCCAAATAAAAATACCTCAGTAATAACAAGGATTTATAATCCTCCATCAACCCATGGGATCTTTAGGAAAACAAAACAGGTGCCATCTTTTCTTCTTACTGAATTTTAACCATACGGGGAAAACCTCCCAAAAGCTTCTGCAACACACTGTTCCCTTGCCATTTTACCTTCATATTTCATTGTATCAATTAGCTACATGAGCACTATATTTAGATATTTTGCCTTTCTGGGATGTTTTATGTCCCACACTTCCAGAACTATCTTTTTGGGGAAATAAGTTTGAGGTTTTGGTTTGGCTACACAAATTGGAATGTTTGAAATTATAGATCCACATAGATTGTGCATATACAGATTTCTTGGTACATATGTATGAGATGTATGGAAACAGAAGTTATATATCTATACTTGTGTATACTAATATTTAAGATTATACTACTTTACCTTTCTGGGATCTTTTATGTACTACAGTTCCAGAACTATCTTTTTGGGGAAATACATTTGAGGTTTTGGTTTTGCTACACAAATTGTTATGTTTGAAATTATAGATCCACATAGATTGTGCATATACAAATTTCTTGGAACATATGTATGAGATGTATGGAAACAGATATTATATATCCATGCTTGTATATACTAAGTATAAACATTTACTATGTACAGGTCACACTGATTTGCATTTATATTGATACTCATATAGTATATACATTTGTAATGAGACACAGCAAAGGAAGTCAGTCTACAAAAATGCATATATCTTCATTACGCAGATGTAAGTATGATTAAAAGAGATTCCTTCCTGTCATTCATAAGAAGCCTGTATGAGAAGCAAGATGCACATTTCATCTGAAGCTGAATTACCATTGTCATTTACACAAAATGTATGTCTGTTTAAATCCATCTGTACCAATTGTCATCATGTTTCCAAGGGACATGTTTCTATAACCTGTTAAGGCTCGTGTGAGATATCAGAGCAAACCTTTCTAAAGTGTATTAGAGCATCAGCCCACAAAGCCCATTCTGGGATTACTTTTCTGCTTGAAAGACACTTTTGGACAGCAGCAACACCTTCTCCCCTCTGCCTGTGGTCCCAGGTTAGACCGCATTGCAGACTGCATTGACTCAATTGACACCAAATAATAAGCCAGTTAGCTGCACACAGGGGGCCATTCTTCCCTTCGGATGCTCTTTTCAGCAGAAGGGACTTGTGTGCCAAAGTGACTACCAAAGTGTAGCAGGCAGTGGCTTTAAGATTGGAGATTTCACAGGAATTTCTACTCAGCCTCTTCACTTCAGGTCAAATGCCCTGAATCTTCCCCTCTCCTGCCCCAGATACCAAAAAAGCAAACAGTATAAAAATAGAAACATTTGAGGTGTTGAATGAAGACGTAAAAGGAGAGGGATTAAGAGAGACACAGAGAAAAATGATAAGCAGGATTTTTGAATCTTGCTGTATTTATATACTATTTACAATTATTGCCCATTGTTGAAGAAGAAAGCACTTTTCACATATGAAGTATATAATAAAATTACAGAAATAGAAAATTAACTGTTCTATAGGTCAAGAAACTATTTCGTGCTAATGTCTACATACAGATTTTTTAAAAAGGAAATCTGCAAAATGCCATGAGAATGAACCCCACAATGAAGCTAATAACTACCATAGGAAAAAAAAGCAAAGAAACTTAAAATGATCCTTCTTCTGGGAAATAAATACCCAGGTTCTCAACAATCAAATGTTGGATAAGCAAAAGATTTGTGGTAATCCATGATCAGTGTTCATTTGCATTTTTAAAAAGGAATTTTCATTTATACAAATGTAATATCAAAGTTATCAAAGTGACACGTATATTAGAGCAAAATAATAATGAGCATATGTAATATTATGCAATCTATTTTGCAAAAATGTGAGTGACAACAGCTAATATCTTTGTCCTTTGTGTATATTTATTTCAAGAAAGCAGAATTGTTTTTTAAAGAATATTATCTAACCTAAGCAATATCCAAACTGAAAAAGTAATTTTGAAGCCATTCTTTTAACATTCTTTACTAGACAGAGCAATGTGCTCTTGAGGGAATTCTTCACAACCAAAGTTCAATTTGGACTGGACCCATAAAAATCTAAGGAAATTTGCAGTGGGAAAGGATATTTGAATTATTTTTAAAATGTCTAGAGGAGGACATTGGCACATGTGCGGGGAGCATTCAATAGATAGATAGATAGATAGATAGATAGATAGATAGATAGATAGATAGATAGATAGATATTAGATAGATGATAGACAGACAAACACAGTACTTGGATTTTACTGCTCAAACAACTCAGCTAATATATATAGTAGGAAATTAATCCCTTTTGTCACTAGAGTAGCTTTCAACTAGAGGAACTCAAGACTATGCAGTTGTTATTTGATGCATACCAATAGCCATATGAAAATAATTTTGAATATACAAAAAAGGAGTACATGAGTAACTTTTGCCCAAACAGCAACAGCCTGCCTCTCCTTCCCCCACAAACAGGATATAACAATGACGAAGATACCCTAGAAAACAATGCCTCACCGGCAGTGCAGAATCGGACAAGATACGCCGCCTCTCTCTATTCTCAATCCATTCCCTTTCACACTAAAAAACAAAACAAAAACAGCTTGGTCATGGCATGTTACTGCAACTGAAACACTGAACACAAAAGGAACATAAATGAACCTGTGACATGATTGCATTTGCATGAGAAAGACAGGAAAAATCTTGAATAACACACACACACACAAAGTCTGAATTTCTGAATGGATTCTGTGTGTATTATGTGCGAGATACTTGTGGGTCAAACATATCTAGAGCATGTTGATAAAATTATTATGAGGCATGAGAGGAGCCAAAAAAATAAAAATTAACATTTCTTTTTGAATGAGAAGTAGAAGCATTTAAGGAAACTAACACGTTTATAAACTGCAACATGAACAGAGTAGGCGTAAAGGATACAGCAAAGAAGGGAAATCCATCACAAAGGTCAGAACAAGTTGTGTGACAACAGTCTGCTTTTTGTAACTTGCCTGCACAAAAAGACCAAGTAATAACAATGTTGCTAGAGGTGCAGATGGGCACCCAAATGCTCAGAAAACAGACAGGTGTTAGAATCTTGTTCTTTCATAAAAGACAAATTATGAAGTCCAAAGCACAGAAAAAATCGAGCACAGCGGCAAGATCATCACTATGCAGCAGAAATCTAGGCGCCTCAAACACACCAAGGCAAAAAATGCAGGACTGACACGGGTTAAATAGTGCCGACTACTCCTATTTGGCTAACATAAGGTCAAGTCATGTGCAGTGAAAGTTTCAAGTCCTTAATCCCCTAGAGCTTGTTTGCTAATTACATTTGCAATTACAAACATGGCAAAGATATTATTCTACAGTACGTTGCACTTCAAGCAGGCATACTTTTCCTAACAGATCCTCGCCTCCAGCAGCCCAGCTCACAAGTGTTATCTTGACAGACAAAATAAACTGGTGCTTAAGCTGGAAGGGCCACTTCAAGTGCAGCCCAAGTGTTTAACAAGAGGCACAGAAGAGCTTTAAAGACAAGAGGACAAGCTATTACAGCAAAGAAAGAAAAATGACCATGGAAGAGCTTTTCAACAAACAATTGCCCATAAATAAAGTTTTCTCCAAGTCTGTGCCAATGTTTATAAACTGCAAACCCATTAGCTGAGGCTTTCTCATTTCATCATAAACATGTATAAGTATGCTTCAGTTCTCCAAAATAATTCTGGCTTTACCTACAAAGTCTAAGGAATTTAAATACAACAGGGTTTTCTTTAATTCGTAATGACTGGCACTGATTGTACTGAAAGGAATATCTACAACATCTTCAATATTGCAATTTCTAAGAGAATACAAAGATGCTATGATATGTGTCTGGCACAGTACACACAGGGAAATATTTTTCTACATGTGCATATGTATACAATTCTTGTCTTTTTAAGAAAAAAAACATATTTTGCAGCTATCAAACCAAGGCAAAGAATGCCGAATTCATTCTCAGTACAATCTTAATATAACTAACTTGGTTCGTCTGATTGAAACCAATATTGTTTTTTCCTTGACAAGTACTTTTAAGATTGTAGCTTCCACATAGTAAGGTGGAGAAGCATCCAAACATCTCCAAGGTAACATGTGTTTCTCCCTCAAAACACTTGTCAGAAACCCTTCTCTATCCAGAATATTGGGCACAAAACAGAGCGGACAGAGTTGTAACTCTGTCTCGTTTGTCTTGTTTTTGCTACTTCTTTCCTCAGGTAAATGCACCCTAAACATTGATAGTTTCTTAGTAAAGGATGGTTATCACTGAAATAGTGAACTTTGACTCCATGAGAGCTTAAAGCTACAATACTAAAACTAGTGAATAAACAAAATAGGTTCTGAGTAATCATCTATGGGATTCTATAGTAGATTTATACTTTCCTCCTCTTTTATTATTTATACTTATAATAATAAATACTTATAATACTTATACTTATAATAATAATAAATAGAAACATCTGAGGACTGGAGAATACTGGCACATATGAAACTTTTCACTGGAGAGATTCAGTAAGTAGTGGTTTGCAAGTTAGTTTATTTTTGTGATAGCAGAATAGGGTAATAGAGATAAAGAGGAGGAAAGAAATTAAGGGTACAACACACACATTCTGCTCTGCAGTTTCTGTCACAGCAACTTTCTCGGATGCAACGCACCAAAGTCCTCTCCCTCTCAGGCGAAATGCAATAGCTATCGATTGCTTTCAATCAATACTGTGAAAAGATCCCTGTCCTGTTGTTGTTGTTCTTGCTGTTGTTTTTCCCCCTAAATATTAATAATACATTAGTTTTTCCATAATTTTCAAGAAATGATGTGGAAAAAAATCAGAATCTCAAAGACAGGGAGAAGAAAGGTTAGTATTATCCGTTAACATCCAGAGCTGGCCAGACTCTTGATAAGGGACTCAGTGACACAATAGGAAATCTGTTCAGAGAAGCCAACTAAGCCTGCTAGTTTGCATTGCTGCTGCTTCTTGAATTATACTGTCAGTAAGAAAACACACAGAGAGAGTCACAAATCCCTATTGTCAGAATCCAAGAATGGCCCTAGCACTTAACAGCTTCATTCAGCCTTTCTGTTTAGAGTTTCTCCCTTCATGGAACCGGAGGGGGGCAAACGAAGAGACACGACATTTCCAGGAGTGCCTGAACTCAAGCAAGTTCATCTAGCCTTTTAAACAATGATTTTTCTTCTCACTGACGGAGTAGAGGGTAAGAGTAATCTCGCAATTATCAAGTCACATTTCTCTGCTTGAGGTAAACCAAAGGACTGAAAAACTAAAAGCAAAAGCAATTCAGTTACTCATTTACTGTTTATTCTTGTTCTGAATGGAATCACTCTTCTCTCTCATTTTCTCAAATGACAGCTATTGTTTCTGATATTTTTTTCATAATTAAGTTATTTTCAAATTTATCAGGAAGACATTTCTGTATCTTTCAACACCCAAAGAGAAAACAATACTGCTGCTACGATTATCTTCATCATTAATATAGCAACCCTTATTTACTCCAGTCTCCTGATTAGGAAAGGCAAAAGGTATTTCTATAGTCCTAAGAAACACCAGAGGCTACAGCTAAACAGAAAATAAAAGGAAGAGAAATGTCAGGAGAGAATGCTTCTGGAACATGGCCATACAGCCCGAAAAACTTACAACAACCCAGAAGCCAAACTGTTACTTATCTGGGGCTGTGATTAATGGCAAAGCAAACAAAAAGTGCTGGATTTGTTCTGTCCATTTCCAAGTACCTTCTCAAATACGGACATGTTACACAATCACATTCGTATGTATAGTTCTAAATGGCAGGCTTATTTATGCCCGCATGCAGATTTATATTATACTGGCACTTTACTAGAGAATGTTAGTTCAGTTTCACTAATTTTCTGCCCTCTTAACTTGAAACACAAACTGCAAAATAGCTGACTTACTAATTTATTGTTTGTTCTATCAACACCAATGATTTCAGCCTGGAATCTTGCTCTCCATGCTACATACAGGAAAACTTTTATGGCATTGTTTTCATAATTACAATTAATTACTCCAAGAATCTGTCTACATGAGATGAAATTATTGAAAGGGTATGCAAATATTAAACAACTGAGGAACGAATCCTATGCTTCAGGAAGAAATACAACTTCTTTTTTTCAGTTTACTTGTTAAAGTGCTTACATCAAATACATTTGCCCTCCTGAAAGTGAAATACTAGGCATTGTATTTTGAGTCTCTGGACAGAAAAGATCTCCAGAGCTCACTCAAGCTGTTGTTGGAGTCACAGATATAGTAGTTAGCCTTCTATAATAATAATAATCATCATCATCATCTTTATTTATAACCTGCCCCCTCTAACCAAAGAGACTCTAAATCCTGGATTACTCTTTTTAGAGCTTCTTACTGACATTTTCTCATAGAAAGGCTGAGAGAGAAAAATTACAAGTACCAGAAAAGTTAAAACATCCACACAATGCCAACCATTTTCTGCAGCCACACTTAGGTTTATACTGAAACCGCTTTGCAAAAAAAGAAATGTGAGTTTTTGCAACTTTACAAACTAATATTAAATATTTGCTGATGAAAACAATAAGGATAACAGTAAATTACAGAAACAGTATTAAAATAATTGCACAAAATTATCTAAATGGCCAGTACTCATTGCAGAAAAGTGTAGTAGACTATAGATGTATGCAAACATATAATTAAAAATATTCCTGTAAATGTAAACATTTACATACACTGACTAAATTATTGTTCATGTGGTGGTAGTTAGCCTATTTATACCTATTATAAATACTTTATACCTAGTCTTTAACAAGAAGACTGTAAATGAAAGTCCAATCCTAAAATAATTTGACAGTATTTGCCAGCATTATAACTTTTTTGCCATCTGTCCCCCAGTTGCCAGTTTATAATTACTGTCTCAAAACTATAGTATTTTAAGTCTTTTGAACGAAATGGTACATTCTTGATTTTAAAGAAAATGCACGGCTAATGTCAACTTATATAAAATACTGCTACCAAAGAAGTTTTATAGTAGCAATACAATCCTATGAGATGCACACCCACTATATTGGAGTATAGGATTGCCCCCTTAATAACCGAAAAGATATTACAACTCAACCCATTTGTTATACACCAAGACTAATTGGTACAACTCCTTGATCTGCTTTTGTTTCCTTAACTAGAAACCAAACTGACCCGAGAAACAAAGGCATAACATTGTTTCTGAGTCTCCTAACTATCTAATAATAATAACAACAACAACAACAACAACAACAACAACAACAACAACAACAACAGCTTTATGTATAGACTGCCCTCTCTAGCCTGATATTCAATAAAGTCAGATAAATACTTCATTTTGCTAGTTTTGTTTGTTGGCATCTGTCTGTCTCATTCTACAAGTAGGTTGTATATGAAACAGGAAAAGGGGTGGATTAGGGAAGGCACATACATGCCAGTGGCTATTAAAATTATTGTTTTCTATTAAGGAGATGTTCAAATGTTAAATTCCTGGTTTTAGGAAAATATCAAAAGGTATATGGTTCCTTATTTACTCTTGAGCCACTTTTTCATGAAGCAATGAAAAATATAACTTTTAATACTGTTGTAGGTAGAAGCAGATGCAATTAACTCAAGCTGAGAAAACAAAATTAACAGAAATGGAATATATTTCATTGGACTGAAAAGGTGTGGAAACAAGGTAGATGGGGTGAGAAATAACCACAGGAATGCATGTTACAGAAGACATGAAAGATGAGAAAGTGGCAATATTTTCTAATCAAATTATATTTATTTTTCTTAAGGTATCATTGTTACAGCTCTATTGCATCCCTCCAAGGCAATGTTTTGGGTCTTTTGAAGCCTTCAGGAGCTTTGCACAGACCAATAAACACACAAAAGATGAGTTGGCTTGTCAACAGAGGACAGGCAGACTTGAGAACCCATTACAGGAGGGGAAGCGGACATAAATGACAAGGGAATGTCATCCACTTTCCCGGGTTCCTTTCAAGGCTCAACAACATTGATGTACTAAAAAAAAAACATTCAAAGGAAGCATCACTAGGACATCACACAAAGAGAAGGAAAAAAAGAGGGAAGGATAACATTCGGTGCTGATTTATCTGTCATCAGTCCCAGCTTGGGATACTTGCTCAACTCACCCCATCCCTGCATCTCCAAACTGGAGGCAATTTCAGGCAATGCATCCTAAGATAGTAACAAAATGCAAATATAACCTTTCAAGAAGAAACCTTTCAAGAAGAATCCATATATTTATATATACATACATACACACACACACACACACAGAAGAAATCTGATAGGGCTGCAAATGGCCACAATGGACCTCACTCTCTGAGTTCACAAACCCAAGAGAACTTTTTTATAGAATGAGACAGAAAAAGTGAGCTTTCCATTTTAATCCTGAGGAAGGAGAGAAAGAACTTTGAGTTCCATCCATGGTAGAAAAGCAGGAGAAAAGTAAATAATAATAATAATAATAATAATAATAATAATAATAATAATAATAATAATAATGGGTGATGGAAGCAAAAGTCAGCACAAAAGTAGGCAGCTTCCTCTGGAAATCTTGATTATTCCCCTCATAGCTGCCTTCAAGGAGGACCTCACTTCTAGGCATGATTGCTGGGAAACAGCATCCCTACAGTTTTATATATTTACACTAGGATGGATATCATTCATATATGGAAATCATGCTCAGCCAGGAGGGATCACCTATGAAAGATAGAGAGAGAGAGAACTAGAGAAGAACTAGAGAGAGAAAGAGAGAGATAAATAGAGAGCTAGAGAGAGAGAGACATAGGTAGGTAGAGAGAGAGAGAGAGAGAGAGAGAGAGAGAGAGGCCGACAGATAGAGAGATAGAAAGATAGAGAGAGAGGTAGATAGAAAGAGACATAGGTGGGTAGGTAGGTAGAGAGAGAAAGAGAGACCAACAGATAGAGAGATAGAAAGATGGAGAGAGAGAGAGATAGGTAGATAGATACATAGGTAGGTAGGTAGAGAGAGAGCGAGAGAGCGACAGATAGAGAGATAGAAAGATGGAGAGAGAGATAGGTAGATAGACAGAGAGAGACATAGGTAGGTAGGTAGAGAGAGAGAGAGACCGACAGATAGAGAGCTAGAAAGATGGAGAGAGAGATAGGTAGGTAGATAGAGAGAGACATAGATAGGTAGGTAGAGAGAGAGAGAGAGACTGACAGATAGAGAGATAGAAAGAAAGATAGAAAGATAGGTAGGTAGGTAGGTAGAGAGAGAGACTGACAGATAGAGAGATAGAAAGATAGAGAGAGAGGTAGGTAGGTAGGTAGAGAGAGACATAGATAGGTAGGTAGGTAGAGAGAGAGACCAACAGATAGAGAGATAGAAAGATAGAGACATAGATAGGTAGGTAGAGAGAGAGAGAGACTGACAGAGAGATAGAAAGATGGAGAGAGAGATAGGTAGATAGAGATAGAGAGAGAGAGATAAATAGAGAGCTAGAGAGAGAGAGAGTCATGGGTAGGTAGGTAAGTAGGTAGGTAGAGAGACAGAGATAAACAGAGCTGGGGGGGTGGAGAGGGAGAGAGAGAGAGCTAGCTAGCTAGCTAGACAGACAGACAAATAGACAAATCTCCAACACTGTTAAGAACATCTTATATCTAGGAAATGGTCCATTTCTGCCCCTTGAAAAGGAAACAGAGAAGTTGACACAGTCTCCTCAAGTCAAAACATGAGGTCCACCTCTGGGTGCCGGTCTTTGCTGTCACTTTCTGCGACAAGCGAGGCGAAGAAGCCGAAAAACCCCACTTTTTAAAAAAGGAAAACAGAGAGAGAACGAGAGAAAATAAGGAGAGAAAGCAACGAGGGCACCTACTGGTTGTGGTAGCTGAGAGGGTCGGAGATGCAAAGTTCGGAAATGTCCATCAGTTCTGCTTAAGCATTCCCAGTTGGGGGGAGAAAGCGACTTTGAAGTTCACACTGAGAAGAGGAAGAGGGAGAGAGAAAAAAGAGGAGGAGAAGGCAAGAAAGGAAAGGGGGAGAAAGAGAGGAAGAAAAGGGAAAAGAAAGGGAGAGACAGAGCGGGACAGAGGAGAGGAAGAGAGTGAGACCGAGGCGCGCGAGAGCCACATCCAGGCGGACGGAGGCAAGCAAGAGAGAGAGAGAGAGAGAGAGAGAGAGAGAGATTGGGATGCTACTCAAGCTCCCTCCCTCTCTTCTCCCTTTTCTCTCCCCTCTTCTTCTTTAGTGTGGCTTTGAGACTGAGAGAGAGAGAGGGAGGGAGAGAGAAGAGAGAGAGACGGATGGCTAAGGCAAAGCTGCTATTGGCTCCCACTCCGGGGCTGGGCTTGAAGTGACAGAGCGGCGACGGAGTGTTGAAGGGGGAGACGGAGGGAAGGAGGGAGGAGGAAAGGCAGAGAGAGTGAAGGGAATGCTCTCCACACGTGGACAAACACTCGGGGGGGACGGGGACGCTTTGTGTATGTGTGTGTTTGCGCGCGCGCGCGTGGGAAGGTCGCTCGCGGGGTCCCCAGTTCAAACCGCGAGCCCATAAGGGCTCGCGGTTTGAACTGGGAACCCCGCGAGCGACCTTCCCACGCGCGCGCGCGCAAACACACCTACACAAAGCGTTGCCCCTCCTGAACGTTTCCCACAGACCCTAGAGAAATAGTCAAAGATGCTAGACTCAGCCTTAAAGGGACTTTTGGAAAGCGGGAGGGTAGGGATGTGTTGCTGGAGGAGAAGAAGATGCAGAGCTCTCTGATAAGAGACAAGCGCAGAGGAAAGAAATGGCCCTATCCGTGCTTTTCAGTCCTGACAAATCCTTGAAATGTTGAAGATGCCTTCAAGCACCAGGATGGAGACGATTTAAGCGCCTATTGCTCCACCAACACTGACCACTGAATGCACTTCAGAAGCTAACCTCAAGTTTGCAGTGGCCAGACAACAATCATCCACAAAAGTGCGGGGAAAGAAAGCCCCTCAATGCTCTGCTATTTGGATATCAGACTGCACTCCAACAACTTAACTTCCTGAATGTGAGAGCTGTTCAGCAGTGGAACTCTCTGCCCTGGAGACTTTGGAGGGTTTTAAACAGAGGCTGGATGGCCATCTGTCGGGGATGCTTTGAAAGCAGTTTTTCCTGCTTCTTGGCAGGGGGTTGGACTGGATGACCCATGAGGTCTCTGATTCTATTCTATCTATATAAATAAAAATGTAATGTTCGTTTGTGGGATTAACAGCACTCAAAAACCACTGGACGAATTGACACCAAATTTGGACAGCATACACCTAACAACCCAACGTATGTCCTTCACTCAAAAATTTTGATTTTGTCATTTGGGAGTTGTAGTTGCTAGGATTTATAGTTCACCTACAATCAAAGAGCATTCTGAACCCCACCAACGATGGAATTGAACCAAACTTGGCACACAAAACTTCCATGATCAACAGAAAATACTGGAAGGGTTTGGTGGGCAGTGTCCTTTGGAGTTGTAGTTCACCTACATCCCGAAATCACTGTGGACTCAAACAATGATGGATCTGGACCAAACTCTACACGAATACTCCAAATGCGAACACTGGTGGAGTTTGGGGGAAAATAGAATCTTAACATTTGAGAGTTGTAGTTGCTGGGATTTATAGTTCACCTACAATCACAGAGCTTTCTGAATCCCACCAATGATAGAATTGGGCCAAACCTCCCGCACAGAACCCCCATGTGGGCCACAGCAACACGTGGCAGGGGATGGCTAGTCTATATAAATAAAAAATGCAATGTTCGTTTGTGGGATTAACATAACTCAAAAACCACTGGACGAATTGACATGAAATTTTGACACACTACACCTAACAGTCCAATGAGTGTTCATCACCCCTAAAAATACACAAAAAAACCCAGCAGAATGGACTTAAAACCCCCCCAAAGAACACCATATATATATATGCAGATGATACAACTTTGATGGCCGGAAGCGAGGAGGAGCTGAGAAGCCTTCTAATCAAGGTGAAAGAAGAAAGTGCAAAAGCTGGGTTGCAGTTAAACATAAAAAAACACGCAGCAGGGGGTGGCTAGTGATTCTAATTATAATGTACTTTATTTCTATTCCACTCGCTCTCCCCGAGGGGACTCAGTGCGGATTACAGGACACATATATGGCAAACATTCAATGCTGTTATACAATTAACAAAGACAGACAGTACATAAACATAGGTAAAGACTTCCCATCTTTTTCCATCTCTGGCATCTGGAGGCTGTGCTCAACTCCGGCCATAGGGAGGTGTTATTTTTCCATTTTCCATGCTGAGAAGCTTGTTGTCTATGGACACCTTCCTGATCGAATTGCCGGCATGCCTTCATGGGCGCCTTTTTACCTCCCCGCCAAAACGGTACTTATTGATCTATGCACATTACTGTTTTTGAACTTCTAGGTAAGCGGAAGCTAGGCTGACAGTGAGAGCTCACCTCACCCGTGGCTTGAACTGCCAACCTTCCGATCACCAAGATTTTCTTCAGCTGGCCATTTAACCCACTGTGCTCACCACAGTCCAATGCATGCCTCTCTCTTGCTAAGAAATACATGCATAGGGCTTTCATATCTTCAAGGTCATAATGATATATGACATGATGCCCAATCTATGTTGAAATGTACTAGTTCCAGAATAAATTTGGGCAGCTTAAGAGGACTGGCAAGACCAGCGTGGTATCATGGTTGGGATAGGACTCCTGAAGTTATTGCTAATGTATGCCTTCAGGTAATTCTCAACTTATGACAACCAAGGTTCAAAACACTGCTCAGCCATGGAAACCTACTGAGTGACCTTGGAAAATGCATATTCTCCTATCTAAGAGAATCTCCTCTGAATCAGTTGTATCAAGAAAACCCTATGATAGGCTCACCATACTTGATAGCACATAACAACCACAATAAAAGTTGGTTGACCCTTGGAATTACTCACAAAACAGCATGTATGTTGAAGAATCCCATCAGAATGGCACCACCTGGAAAATATCTCTGAGGAAAGCTCATGAACAACATCTATCTTGAGCAAGTTTGTGCAGATGAACACATACAAATACACAAATACTCATATTCAAGCCCTGCAGAATATCACATCGCCTTGCTTTGGGGCAAGAAAACAGTACTAGGAGCCTAACAATGCAATCCTTAAAATATCTGTTGAGGCGTAAGTTGCATCATGTAAGTGGGTAAAGGATTGCGACATAACACATGGTGGGTGCGTCTTCAGCTTAGAAATGGAGATGAACACCACCCCCCAGAGGCGGACATGACTGGACTTAATGTCAGGGGAAAACCTTTACCTTTACCTATTTTCAGCCTGCTCTCCATCCAGCAAGACTTTTAAGTGTAGCCAGTAAGAGTAACATAACCACAAGAACCAATAAAACTGGGCAAATAATAATAGAACAGGACTTTAGACCAGATTCAATAATTTTTTTTAAAAAATCAGCATAGAATTTTTAAAGCATTAGAAGGTCAGGAAACTGAATATTTCTTTTATGCAGAATCAAAAAACAAAGTACAGTTGATGCATCATATCCACAGATTCAACCAACCATGGCTCAAAAAGATATTTTTAAAAAGGAGATTCCAAAAAGCAAAAATTGACTTGGCCATTTTATATAAGGGACATCACTTTATTGTAAGGTAAAGGTTTTCCCTGAACATTAAGTCCAGTCATGTCCGACTCTCGGGCGTGGTGCTCATCTCCATTTCTAAGCCAAAGAGCCAGCAGTGTCTGTAGACACCTCCAAGGTCATGTGGTCAGCATGACTGCAAGGAGTGCCGTTACCTTCCCACCTATTGATCTACTCACATTTGCATGTTTTCGAATGGCTAGGTTGGCAGAAGCTGGGGCTAACAGTGGGTGCTCATGCCGCTCCCCGGATTTGAACCTGCAACCTTTCGGTCAACAAGTTCAGCAGCTCAGTGCTTTAACCCACTGTGCCACTGGGGGCTCCATTGTGTATAAGCCGCCGATTTTGGTACCCACAGGCAAATCCTTTCTGTCATAAGTTAGCAACTTGTGCTCCTCCAAATATTACTGGACTGCAACTCCCACCAACTTCAACCAACAAAACTAACAGTGAGAGATAGTGGAAACAGGAATTAAGACTTCTTTGAAGGCTACCCATTCATTATTCCTGATCTCTGGGGAAAGAGTTCCATCAGAGCTTGGATATAAAGCATCATATATCACACACAAGAGGGCAAAAACATTCCTTTTGAGAGTAACATTAATAGCTGGGAATATTATTTTTCTGCATAAGAAGTAATATAATATTTGTTAACAATACTTCCTATATATAATTTATTATCTGAGGAGGCATTTGGAGAGACATTTAAAGGCATTTAAAAGGATATTTTCACATTTTAGACATTTTTCCAGTTTTTGAAAATTGATTTTCTGTATAAAAACTAAATAAGCTGCAAGTAGTGGGACTTTAAATAGCCCCAGTACATTTCCCCCTTCCTCAGTTGTAACAAGCAAAGGTAAGAATTTCTTTCCAAAAGGAACTTTGTAAACTCTAGAGCAGGCATGGGCAAACTTTGCCCCTCCAGGTATTTTGGACTTCAACTCCCACAATTCCTGGCCTCAGGCCCCTTCCTTTTCCCCCTCAGCCACTTAAGCTGAATACAATGGAATAATGGGAAGTGCTGTTTTGCGGGAACTTTCACATTCTCTGACAAATGCTTGTCCCTCACCAAACTAGAACTCCATAATTCCAAAATATCAAACTGCATTCATTCTGAAGTATAGAGGCACCCTGAAACTGATCCTAATTGCAAGATGACTCCAGGCAGAAAAAAAGTTGCCCTTGGGGATATGGTGTTCCTAAAAGGTCCCAAGTGATTGCAGTACTTGCTTGCAGAAAGTTGTAGTATTCAAGTTTCCTTTCAGTACATGGGAAAAGAGTCCCAGTCTACACACGGACAATAGATTACAAGAGGGTTGTTTTCATAGAATCATAGAGTTGAAAGAGACCACAAGAACCATTCAGTCCAATCCCATTCATACAGGAACACACAATTAAAGCATTCTTGACAGATGGCCATCCAGCATCTGTGTAAAAAAAGAAGAAGACTCCACCAGGCTCCGAGGAGGCAGCATATTCCACTGCCAAACAGCTCTTACCACCAGACCACCAGCACTGATGGACTGGCCATGTTGTTCGAATGACCGATCACCGTCTCCCAAATCAGTTACTATACTCCCAACTCAATAATGGGAAATGTAATGTTGGTTGGACAGGAAAAGGGATTTAAAGATGGGCTTAAAGCCAACCTGAAAAACTGTGGCATAGACATCGAGAACGGGGAAGCCCTGGCTCTCAAGCACTCTAACTGGAGGTCAGCTGTGACCAGCAGTGCTGCAGAATTCAAAGAGGCACGAATGGAGGGCAAAAGGAAGAAACATGCCAAGAGGAAGGCACA